ATATTATATTATATTATATTATATTATATACTGTTACGGTGAGTGATTTGGTGATTGTAAATCTGAAGCTCACCTTTTGAAGGAGACTTGGAGTTCGGTGAGGAAGTGGACCCGTCTCCTGCTAAACCTTCTGTTATCCCTCCTGATGGAGTCTCTTCCTTAGCAGGACTCAGGACTTTCCCCTTCCCTCTGACTGTTCAACAACCCAACAGAGATTAAAAAAAGACACAAAAGATGAAATTCTGCAGTTTTTATGGACCATCTGCATCACCGTTTGTGTATAAATGAGTTTATAAAGCAGGACTCTGTTTCAGCTCACCAGATCGAAGGGATTTTACGACAGGGGGCTTCACCTCTAAATCACCTTTCACAACAGGTGTGTGCAGCTTTGAAGCAAATCCATGAACAGTTTCTGTTGTTGACACGAAACAAAACTTTTAATTTTAAAAGATTACATGCTCTCACTCAGCAAACTAACAGGTTTTTATTAGGTTAGAGCTGTTTAGACCCTTACCATTTCATCCTTTTTAATACATGTCTGTGATTAAATCTATTACCAAGCTCTCATCAGGAAACCAAATGAAATTTTTACCTTCAGTTGTGACATTTCCAGCAGGATGAGTGGATAACAATGTTTGTATAGAAGCATCCTGGATGTTGAATTTTACTTCCTTTTCCAGGCGCAGAGAGTTACGGGTCTTTTTCAGAGCGGGACGAGGTGAAACTAAGCATGAAATTACAGATTCTGAAAAAAAAAATGTTTTAACCAATTTATAAGCACATAAGAAAGACAAACAGATTACGAAGAGGATGTTGCAAAGACGCTCACCTGTATGTTTTGTAGTCTCTGGACTTGTTTTAACCACAGATGTTGTTGCTTCGTGCTTCAAAGACGCAGGTGAGGAAAGTCCAGTTTCATCAGCAATGCAGGGAAGTTTCTCCCCGCATGAAGGACAGAATTTAAAATCAGGCTGAAGCTTCGTCCCACACTGGGGGCAAAAACTGAAGGGCATGCTTCAAGAAAGACCACAAGCATCATTATATGAATCATCACCTTCCTAAAATAACAGTCATTTTTTGGTGGACAAAGTTTACTTTTTTGCCTAAATTATTTCTCACCTGTGGTAAAACCACCCTCATTTAGTCAAATCATTTGACCCACAACTCTTTAAGATAATGGACTTTGTCAAGAGGGTGACTTAAGCTGATTTATTATGCATAACTCCAAATAAAATATGACTTCCCTTATGTCGTGTTAAAATTCTGGTTAAGTTTTTTGTATCTTGAAATTTTTTAAAAATAGGAAGACACTAAAATAAATTTTCATAGAAATAAAGAAACGTTTTATTTAATGTGATATAATCTGTTAAATCTCTGTGTCTAAACAAACAAAATGTAGCCATCATGGAAAATTATAGCTTTTATAATTTTGATAGATGATGTTGATATTTGGAGTTTTTAATAAAGCTTCCAAATCAGTGAAGATCCTTTTGTGAATTAATTAAATAAAAACAGAGAAATATATATAAAGAATTGAATATTTCTTCATCTTATGAGATTTTTGTTTATATTAGACATTTATTTTTGATTTGAAGCATTTACTGAACTAAAACTTGTCCAAACAATTATCTTTAGAGGACCAATCAACTTGTTTCAGGAYGATGTAAACTGAACTAAGTTTGATCGAACATGTCTGCAGAGAACCCAGATAACTAATTTTAGTAAATAAAAACTAACTCTGAAGTCTGAAACATTTATCAGCCGAACAGCTTTGTTGACAGAACAGTTAGCTACATTTTTTTTTTTTTGCAAACATGGCTTCCAGCAGATTAGTCGCTGTGTTTTTACTCATTTCAAAGGTTTCGTCACTTTGACATTTAAATGACGGCACGTCAGCTAATGTTAAAAAGCACAAATATATTTTAGACAGACGTTTCAGCTCGTTCCCAATTTTCAAGAAGCGACATTTATAATGAAGCTCGTGTTTCATTAATAGAAAACCTGAAACGTAAACTTAAGCTTTAATTATCGTGTTACCTGACAATAAAAACTTCTGCGATCTGTTTTGGTTCAGTAGTTCTTCTTCTTCTTCTGCTTCTGGTTCTTCTTCATCGGATTAAAATCGAACAAGACGACCTGAGTGGCAGAAGTGCTGCCCCCTGCAGGACTAGATGGGAAATGCAGATAGAATAAATGTTATTTTTATGTTATAAAAAACTATTTTTTAAAATCAACAGCATGGTTACATGTTTTCATAATTGTTTTTAGATGTTTTGGTTATTTCAGAGAAGTTTTCAGGTACTTTTTATGTTCAAAGTTACAGCACAAGATTCTAAAGGTAAATATTTTAATTAGTCACTGTAGAAAAGTCCTTGAGTTGTCAAAATTATTCATTACACAAGTAGAAGCATGGACACCAGGGTTTAAAAATACTATAACACAATATTAATATAATTATAATAACACCTTTAGCTTTTTTATGTAAGAGTGCTGGTTTTAAAAGTAGGCTATCTAACTTAATGTAAAGAGAGAAAAAAAAAAACGCAATTGAGGACAAAAGCTTTTATACTGTATTTCTCATCCAACCAAATAATCAAAAAAATTTGATCCAGGCAAATATCTGGATAGATTTATTTTTGGAAGATGACAAGTCTGTATGAAAGAGAAAATTAAAAACATTTACATTTCAAAAGCATAAGGAGTAGAAAGTACAAATAACTGCGTGAAAATGTAAGGAGCAATAGTAAAAAGTTGGCTGAAAAATAATTACGTCAATAAAGATTATCAAAATATCTACTTATCTGTACTTTGACAATTAATTAGGTTAAAAAGACCTTATTGGTGAGGTTTCTCCCCTTTTAAATCCCACATAAAAACTCAACTTTATACAGGCAAACTCACTCTGACCACTTATTTTTTCATTCACTTACTGTAGGTTTTTACTGTTCACTAATTGCATGTTTAAATTATGATTTAATATTGTTTTACTGCATGTTTTGCACATTTTAAATTGTACTTTTTACTTTGACGTCCCAGAGTGCAATGAAAGGCACCTTCAAATATAATGTCAAATAATTATTATTAAAGTTTCTTTATTGGMAAACAGTTCCAACAATATTGTTCACAAAAGAATAAACTCAACTTGGTGAACAAGTCCTGATGGCATAAAATACAACACAGATTCAAGGTTATACATAAATAGGAATGTTTATKTTGGACATTCTTTAAACATTTAATAAAAAGCATGGCACAAGTGACAGCACGATAAACTAAAGTGATGGAATCTAATTGACCTCAGCTTTTTAAAGATGTGAACTAAAGGCTGGAAAATCAAATAATATAATCGTGTTTTGAAAGAAGTATGTTTAACAAAATAAATGTAACAAATAAGTGATACATAAATCCAGTGTTCATAAGTACTTGTATTAAAAGCAATCACTTACAGACCCATTTGTATTTATTTATAACCCCACCTCTTATCAGCTTTTAGAAACCAACCTATTCAGTAACCCAGCACATACAGATTAACAAACTTAGTTTATATTAGATTATGTACTGATTGAACACAGCAGCCTTATAGGAAATATATCTGATAACAGTTTAGGAAATAAAACCAGTTTTGTGGAGCCAGYAAGTCACGTCTCATCATCCAATTAAACAAAAACAGCTAAACTACGGTAAATGATGGCACAAAATTGAGTGCTGTAAACTTTGCAATTAACAAAAAAAGGTACATAAAGGAGAGAGATGAAATTCTTTCATGTCTGCAATTTGAGATGTTTCAATGGAAGCAAAACTGTTGTTTTAGTGCTAATTTGATCAGAAGGCAACATGGATTATTTTATCTCTTTTTYTTTGTAGACAAGGCACTGCATTTAAAAAGCCAGGGAATTGGTAATGTTTTAGAAAGAAAAAATGGAAGTCATTTATAAATTTAAATGYATCTTGTGTTTCAAGTCATTTCATAATTTATTCTTTTCTAATAAAAAAAAAAAACACTTTTCTTGTAACCTACTGGCCAAAAGTGCACTTAGAGTGAAAAAAAGCAAGTGTTCCCCCAGAAAACACTGGATTAACAGTAAAAGAGGTACAGTTTTCTGGTGGGGCTGCAGTTTTTAACAAGACATTCAGCAAGTTTTTACATTAAGTGACCTAAAGGTTCCTAAAAGTACATCCTAAATGCTGAGAACATATTTACAGCTCATGTAACACGCAGCAGGCTCTCTGTTCTTTGGATAGTTTCTATATGAAATGAAATCAGCACATTCAGCTGATTAATGAAATGAAGYGAGTTTGGAATCACATGAAATAAACCAAACTCAGTTAAACTGAACCATTCAGAAACCTCATTACTGACAAACTTTCAGTAAATCTGTAACACAGGTTTGTGGAGCAGAGAACACATAACGATGACGATAAAGATTTTTTTCGTTTCTTCAACATAAATGTAATAAACTCCCACTGGTTATACTTGGACGCCTTCCTATTTTCCTCCAAATACCATCAGACATGAAACAAAATCCGCTCTAACACGCACATTTGCCTCTATCGGAGCTCTCCGAGAGGTTTGCGTTGGAGGGACCGTTGGCACGGACCGTCCCGTCTGGGATCCAGGACTTGTCGACGCACCGTTCCATCCTCTTCATGATGAGATCCAGGAGGACGTCCACGGCCTCGCTGACGTTCTGCCCACTCGCAGCGCTCGTCTCAAAGTAGGGGACTCTGCACAACGGGGTTAAAAACACTGAATCAGACCTGCAGCTTTTTTWATTATTATTATTTATTCATTTCATTTAAAAACAAATCAAATGCCTTACATACAACAAATACAACACAAATAAAATGAAAGGTAGCATAAAGAAGAAAAAAATTCTTACTGATATCTGCTCCTTTTCAAAAATAAAAATTCAAACAATTATAATCTTCAAATAACAAAAAAAACTTTAATTCCTTCTCGAACAACGGTTCTTATGAATGCACATTATACAAATGCATTTTTCTTCAACAATCTAACTTTTATCATTCTCTTAAATTTAATTTATTAAGCCAGCATTTTTATAAATCACTTTCCAGATTGTTCCACAGTCTTATTCCTTGGACTGAAGTACAACCCTTAAGGTTATAATTACTTACTCTCTTAACACAATTTAATTGAATATTTAGAGGTAATAAATTTTTATGAGCTTTATACATAACCTGCAAAATATTATAATCAACCAACTCATAAAATTTCAATAATTTCAACTGTCAAAATTATATTTGATGGGTGACTGTAGTGTTTTCTGGTGATAATTCTTACGGCTCTTTTCTGTAAAATAAAGATRGGATTTGTAAATGTTTTACATGTTTTACCCCAGACTTCAATACAGTAAATCAAGTGTTTGTTTCAACATGGCACACGTGTCATATCTCCTGCTTCGCCGTCATTTGACACATTTCATTCGTATCTGGTCGTGTGGTTTCAGTAAAGGTGGCACCAGAACAGGATATTTTACACATGTAGGTAAATATTTGCGTTTTGAGGAGGAGTTTGGTCTTCCTGGCCAGAGTTGGACAAACAGTGCAGCCACTGCCTTCTTGACAAACGCATGAGGGAGAGGTTTAAACACGGATGGATCTAAAACATTTTGACTTACCCGTATTTTTCTGCCAGTTCACGAGCCTCTTTTTCACTGACAGCTCTCTGATCCGACAGGTCGCATTTGTTGCCACACAGGACCACATCTGGATTTTCACAGTATGCGTGAACCTGTAACTGACCTGAGACACAMATCCAGGTGTCGTTTAGTGTAAACAGGTTTTACAAGACTGATTTTCATAAATTATGAAACACGTGCAGCTCAGGCCAAAAGCATGATTTAGATGATTTAACGACCGACACCTGGCATCAATAAAACAGAGAATCAGCTACACGCTCACTAACTCTGCCTCAAACCCTCCATCAGGGAGAACAGCATATTTAACTGGACAAATCAGGAGACGTACTCATCCAGTTTCTGACGTTGAGGAAACTTTGCTCATTTGTGAGATCAAACAGGAGAAGAAAACCCATCGCATCTCGAAAAAAAGCTGTTGTCAAACTCCGGAACCTGAAATTGAAAGTGAAACACTTTATGCAAATAATGTTTTCTTTTTTATATAAAAAAAAAAATCAAACATTTGTAAAGCCATTTGCTAGCTGCAGAAGACGTTAGGACACCTTTCCTGTCCTGCAGTGTCCCACAGCTGTAAGTGGATCTTCTGTCCTTTGCCTGAAGCTCCATCTGGACCTGTTGGATTGTACACCTGAGGGAGACGGAGACAAACTGCCTTAAATATTAACCCACTCTGAATAAATCACATTTTAACAAACAGAACAAAGCTTTCAGGGATGGTTTGTTAAAAAAAAATTGTCCATCCTGAATCCATCATGAGGACCTTGAGACTCCAGTAGAAGTCATTCTTCATCTGCCAGATGACAAAACTTTCGTCATCTGATCGTTTCCACCAAACCAGGATGTTGRCATTGTGCCGGCTCATATGAAAACATGTACTGTTACAGCCATATTTAAGAGCAAAAACAGCCGTTGTGAACAAAGACTAGTGTCAGAAACAAAAAACAATTTTTTAATTCTAAGGTTTTACAAATCAGAACAAAAATAATTTGAATTTTAATCAGTTTTTACATTTTGATACAACCCAGTTATAACTCAATTTACAGATTTTTCTTAAAACATTACCAACAGTAGATGAGCTTAGTTTGTATTAAAGATTTATTTTAAAAAAATAATTATTTTTAAACACCAGGATATCCTTCAGGAGCTGGAGATAAGTAGCATTAAACCAAGAACATTGTAAATTGGAATCAGCTGTTTGCCAATGGTAGGAGTGTTTATTCTTCAGGAGGGAGCTGCCTGCTGTTCAACATTAGTCATCCCTCTGCTGTTACAACATCCAGCAGAGGGCTTTTGTTACAAACCTTAAATATGTATTCGACATAAATACACATTTGGAGAATCTGATTCATCACAGCTGGAATAATAAATAAATAAATGCTTGCCTTTCTTTTTTCTCTGAAGTCTATTCCAACTGTAGTGATGAACTTGGAGTTAAACTTGCCGTCGGTGTACTGGTACAAAAAGCTGGTTTTCCCCACTCCGGAGTCTCCCAGGGCTAAGAACTTGATGAGGTAATCATAGTCCCCATCAGACATAGTGATTCCTTAATTTCTGCAAAAACAACAAGAACAAAAAACAACTCGAATCAAAGTAACTGTCGACAAACAAAACCTGGATCCAAACTCTTTAAAAGCTCAGGAGGAATCTGAGATTTATTCATTAAGACTAAAAAATTATGTTTCCAGTTTTAAGCTTTATTTTCACAGTATTTGTTGCCCTTGTGTGACTATTTTTATTATAAGAACTAAACTTTAACCTACTTATTGATTTGAAGCATTATTCGAATCATGACTTGTTCCTTCACTTTGGAAAAATGTCCTCTGTTGAAATCAGTTTTGTGAATCGACTTTCTTTAAATAAACTGAATAAATAAGCGACACGCTCTGAGTGCAGACTACATAAAGAACATCCAGTGTTGTATAAAGTACCACAAAGTGATACTTGAAGAAAAGTACAAATATCTTACCAAAAAATAACTTTAATAAAAGTAAATGCCTCCTTTAGGAATACTACTTGAGTAAAAGTATTAAAAAAGCTGATATTTTTTGTACTTAAGTATTAAAAGTAAAAGTACTGATTTAAAATGAGCAGTTAGATTATCCCTAACATTTATTACGATTTGACCTTCCCCCCCAAAATGAAAAAATTACTATGTTGTATTAAAATAAGTCATTTGTTAAATTTAGGACACACTGGTCTAGCTGTTTCACTTTATTATATATGCACACAATTAAATTCACTCTATCTAGGATGCACAATTTATATAGTATTTATTTTTTTACAAAAAGAGGCTGGAATAAAAACCAGCAAAAAGGAAATAAGTGACAAGTTTCTACTTCTTGCCTTTTTAAAAAACACAAGGAGCAGAAAGTACAGATAATTGTGTGAAAATGTAAAAAGAAGTAGTAATAAGTAGGCTGAAAAATAATTCCTCAAGTACAGATACCCAAAAATTCTACTTAAGTGTCAATAACAAAGTATTTGTACTTAGTTACTTTACAGCTCTGAGAACATCTGACAGTTGGATATTTGTACTCACTGTTTAGAACTGCAGTACAGTTCTGCCACAAACATTTCTTTATTCTTCTAGTAAATTCATTTCTAAAGACACTTGAAAAACCTGACAGTATTTTACAAACAGATTAACAAGTTTGAGCAAAGAAAAGGGCAAATAAAAAGGTGCTGTGATGCATCAAACATTCCTTTACATAAAGTTTATTTAAAAAATAAAAGTATACTGAAGTTATTACAGAAGCTCCACACTTTCAGAGAATCTAATCATCTCCTCAGCCCACCACAGCAGCGTGTTGACAAGTAGAAACAAAACAAACTGATGATGAAAAGGCTGAAATTAGACGGGTGTTGCAACATTACAGTGTTTTGTACAAAACTCTTTGGTATTTTAACAGAAGACTCTGATCAAACACCATCAGGTTCACGTATCAGTCAGATTAAAAAAATTAAACTTTCTACTAATCTCTCCAACCTGAATGTGTCAGAACTTCACAAGTCCATTAAATACTGCCCCAAACATCACGGTGTAAATATTTAATTGGTTTTAATTAACTGAAACTATATATAAATAAGAGAAACTCTTACTGATTTGCAGTGGTTCACTAATTATTAGATTTAATCACATGACTGGATCTGAGCCTCACATTCTTTCCCTGCGTGAAGCTGAGCCTTTCATCTGGACCCAAAAGCAGATTAAAGTCTTGTGCAGAAAAAACTCAAAACCCATAAGAAACGGCTGCACCAAGGACTGATTTGGCCATAAATGGTGCATTAATCTGAAAACTGCATGACAACCTGCTCTTAATCCTGTTTTGATTCCAGTGGGTTTTACGTTTTAAATATTGTTACTGGGTTTTCATCGGGCTTCAAACAGACGCCACGTTTTATCACCGTTAACGAGGCTATCACAAAAACATCCGGTAAGATCTGACATTATGAACAGGAAATCCCAGATAAACCTAATAAAATAACAAAAACTATTAAAAATTGTATCTTCTTGTATGAAAACGTAATCCAGAGCAAGTAAGTCCACGATTTCAAAGATGAAACGTAAAAAACAAAAAAGTGTATCTAACATCTGCACTTTTGATTTGAAATGGAGAGAAAATAACTGGCTAAAAATAATTATTTAAATTATGAACTGAATCTAAACCCAAAACAACAGATGAGGACATTGCAACAAGTATATTGATTTTAATTTGAATTAAGCCATTAAAATTTTTTTTTGCAATTTTTGTTTTCCAAACTAAAGGACATTTTTATTCATACAGCGGGTAAAATAAGTATTGAACACGTCACCATTTTTCTCAGTAAATATATTATTAGAGGTGCTAATGACATGAAATTTTCACCAGATGTYGGTAACAACCCAAGTGATCCATACATACAAAGAAATCAAACCATAAATGTCCAGAAATGAAGTTATTTGTAATAATGTGGAATGGCACAGGGAAAAAGTATTGAACACATGAAGAAAGGGAGGTGTAAAAAGGCATGGAAAGCCAAGACACCAGCTGAACTCTCTCAGTAATTAGAAAACAAGCCTGCCCCTTGTCAGTGCAAGTTAATATCAGCTGGTTCAGTCCCAAATGATGGCCAGGTATCACACAAGAACCATCTGATGATGGGTAAAAGTAAAGAGCTCTCTCAAGACCTTCACAACCTTATTGTTGCAAAGCATAATGATGGCATCGGTTACAGAAGAATGTCTAAACTTCTGAAGGTTCCAGTGAGCACAGTTGGGGCCATAATTCAGAAGTGGAAAGAACATTATTTCAACATAAACCGACCACGACCAGGTGCTCCTCACAAGATTTCTGACAGAGGAGTGAAAAGAATTATCAGAAGAGTTGTCCAAGAGCCAAGGACCACKTGTGGAGAGCTTCAGAAAGACCTGGAATTAGCAGGTACGATTGTTTCAAAGAAAACAATAAGTAATGCACTGAACCRCCATGGCCTGTATGCACGCTCACCACGCAAGACTCCACTGCTGAAGAAACAGCATGTTGAAGCTCCTTTAAAGTTTGCTGCACAACATTTAGACAAGCCTGTGTAATACTGGGAGAATATAGTCTGGTCAGATGAGACCAACATTGAACTGCTTGGATGCCAGAATACACATCATGTTTGGAGGTCAAATGGCRCTGCACATCAGCCCAAAAACACCAACAGTGAAGTTTGGAGGTGGGAACATCATGGTGTGGGGCTGTTTTTCAGCATATGGTACTGGCAAACTTCAAATAATTGAAGGAAGGATGAGTGGAAAAATGTACAGAGACATTATTGATAAAAATCTGCTTCCATCTACCAGGATGATGAAGATGAAACGTGGCTGGACATTTCAGCAAGACAATGAGCCCAAACACAAAGTCAAGGAAACTCTCAGTTGGTTTCAGAGAAAGAAACTAAAGCTGCTGGAATGGCCCAGCCAATCACCTGACCTGAATCCAACAGAAAATCTATGGAAAGAACTAAAGATCAGAGTTCATAGAAGAGGTCCACGAAACCTTCAAGATTTGAAGACTGTTTGTGTGGAAGAATGGGCCAAAATCACACCTGAGCAATGCATGCCACTAGTTTCTCCATACAGGAGGTGTCTGTAAGCTGTTATTGACAACAAAGGCTTTTGTACAAAGTATTAGATAAATTTCAGTAAGTGTGTTCAATACTTTTTCCCTGTGCCATTCCACATTATTACAAATAACTTCATTTCTGGACATTTATGGTTTGATTTCTTTGTATGTATGGATCACTTGGGTTGTTACCGACATCTGGTGAAAATTTCATGTCATTAGCACCTCTAGTAATATATTTACTGAGAAAAATGGTGGCGTGTTCAATACTTATTTTACCCGCTGTATATATTAAGCTCCGTTCAGGTTTTTCTGGTCAAACTTCTAACAGGCCTGAGCCTCTGAGCGCTGCAGGACTGGTTTGTCCCTCTGAGCGTCGTCCATCAGTTAAGGAGGGCTGCTGCGTACATCAGAGCAACAAAAAGATCAGATTATTTATAACTGGATTACTGGTTTTTGTCAATAAATAAATAAACAAACATCAGGTTTCAATAAATACATCTAATTTACTCTAAATAATCAAACATATTCACAGAGAAATTTTAAACTCCAAAGTAAAAACATAACTAGATAATCATTTAGGGAACATACATTATATAGATTCTGGATGTAATAAGACAATTATTATGTAAAGCTGGAAGAAGACTGTGCCCAGTGAACGGACCGGCCTCACTCTGAAGCACTTCCTGCAGCGCTCATGAGCTGCTGTGATGAAGAAACGATCGGTTGGTCAACGGAGGGAGAAACCTGGAGCAACGCAGCCGTTACATAAACGATGTCGTTAAAGACTTTCTGAAAACGGTTTCAGCAAAATGTGATTATTAAATACTCATTTATTGCAGGGATTAAACCGATATCACCTGCCGCCAAGAGTTGGTGCATCTACAACTGATTGACCTTTGGAGCCAACCCAATTCAAGATGGCCACCACAGATTTTCAATCTAAACAAACATGAACGAGGTCATTACTCGGCTGATTTTACAGATTGAGCTATAATTTGATGCGGTGGTAGAAAATTAATACATAATAAAAACTAATGATTCATTTCTTTATTGGAAGCCATTTCCAGTTACTTTTCACTCTGGTTCACCAGAGAGACGAGTACAAAACATTCTTCCTCTGCCGTGGCGAGTCAAATTTTACGCAATGTAAACCTCGTGGCAAGTGAACAGTTTAAAATGTTTGGTAACAACTCGGTCTGACAACTACCAACATGATCAACATTACAGATTCTTACTTTAAACACCGAAACTAAAATTTGAGTCAGTTTAGGATTTCTGCTTATGATAAAATAGGTCACAGAATTGCAAAACCACACAGTTGCTTGAGTGACGGTTGCATCAGCATATTTCTGGAGATTAGAATCAGTCTAATCAGACATTTACACACTCAGGCATTTCAGGAGAATGCRCTTTAATCTGTCTTAAATGAGTGTACACGAGGAAGTGTAAAAACAAGCAAATCTAAAGCATCTGGTTTAAATTTAAAATTGCAGAACCATCTTTGAGGGTGCTTTCTGTCCCCTGTCCCACCGTTACCATGAAAAGGAAATGACCAAACAGAGCGCTGTTGACAATCAGATAAAAATCGTGTATTATTGCCAAGCTGACATCCAGAACTCCCCCCTCTGCGCTGCTGGTATCAGAACAAACAGATGGAAAAGAAATGGTTTGGAGGACATATTAAAAAGATAAATATTTCCTTTATGAGGTGGTTAAAAATGATCAGGTTCAGGTTTGAGACTAACTGTTAACTTCTGATTTAGAAAAAAAGGTGCAAGGTTCTAACTGAGAAGATGGAGCAATCTCGTGTTTCCCAAAACCTTTTAAAAACAGACAACCGAGTCCCTGTTTCACCACGAGTCAAAGGCGTCGCATTAAACCGGACACCAGGATGGAAAAGGTCACATCACATTTAAACAGCAACGGTGAAGAAAAGCCCCCGAATATTTCCTGAACCACTCAAACTTTAAAAAAAGGCATTCATCACAGCCAACTGCTTTAATAATTAAAATAATTCAGTCAGTTTTGGTAGTAGCAGAGACTGATCCTCAACACATATGTTGATCTCATTGAGGTAACAGGATCTTTGTTAAAAAATTTGACATTATTTGTTTGGAGTCAACTAATACTGTATCTCATGAACAGCTGGGAAGATTTTAATGACATTTTTAAGAAATAATCAAAGTATCTTCATAACTAGCTGTTCAGTCAGATTCAAGATGGCACAGCCAAAAAACACAAAACTCAACCACTTTCATAGATATTGAGCTCAAGTGTGGTGTGGTACTAGCTAAGAGTCATTCACAACACGTACTTACATCTTGCAATAATTAATGGGAGTAGGAATACTGAGTACAAAAAGAAGGGAAATTTGTGTTTGGTTGAGTATTTTTGTTGAAACAATGCTTCTTTACAATAAATCGGATATTATCAGACACTTGATTTGCAGCACCTGGATGTACCAGAAGCTCAAAACATGACTCAATAACAGCAGCAAAATATGCTGGCAGAGACAATTTGGCTAATTTTTCATGTGCACAACCCACATACTCTGCTCATCCCACAAATGCATGTTCCTTACAAATGTGGCGCCACTTAAAAAGGGAAATTAACAGGCTTTCCAGCAGTGTAAGCTTTACTGTCAAGATAGTTACAACAATTAAATAATCTAAAACAAATTTCCTTACTTTGTGTGCCATGTTTATAATATATATATATGTATTAAATACCTGTCTGATTATCTAAAATTGGAAAAAGGTGGTGGGCGTTGTGTATTTCTTTCTTTAAGGAATGTCAGGGATTTTATATGTTATTTTTATTTTTTTGGCTCCATGTTATTAGAAATCTATAAACTGAGCTGAAGCTGGGTGTCTTTCAGCATTTTTTTCCCCCTGCAGTGGGAGTGGACCACATGTCTGTGTGTCTGCCAGGCAGCAAGAGCAAACAAATAGCAGCTTTAATCATTTGTCAAGGATAAAGTAGAGGTCCCACCCTGGGCAGCCGTTCAAGACAGAAGCAGGAAGCTCCTGGAAAAATCCAGACACGTAAAAAATAAAATAAAATCTAAAACAAGATGAGTTTGGTGTGAAACCCAAAGACTGGACCTCTGAAAACCTGCTGCCAAATACAGTCATTAAAATACCACATGAGGATTTATCAGCAGCAGGTTGGAAGAGGCTTGAATCCAATTTCCAGGCTAAAAAAAATACAAAACAAATCAATTAACTGAAATAGAAAGCCTAATGATCCTCAGCTGGTCCTCATGTGGTGGTCACGTGACCTTTGAGGCATCTTTAATGATCTTTTTTCCCCCTTTAAAACTAGTTCTAACTAATAAAATCTTAATTGCAAAATATGTGTCAAAGCATTACTTAAAATTCTGACATAATATTCCCGACTATAATATAGCGAAACGAGCGTTAAACCTTTTTTTTAAACTGTGGTTATTGAGCAACTTTAAAGCTTATCAACTGTGAGAAAATAAAAGCAGGTGGGAAAATGTTTTTCGGTGCCAAGAGAGTACAGCTATGTTAGAGTGACTTTAACAGGCAGGACAAGATGAAAATTAGAGCGATGTAAAGTTAAAAGTTTTCTCTAACTCCTAACAAATGCTTCAGGTTTCTTCGTTAGACACATTTCCTGAAAACAAAGTTGGTCTCACCAGCCGCGAGGCGCTGCTGCTGCTGCTAGCTGCGTCCTGTTCTCTTCAAAAAGAAAGTGCTTCAAATGACGGCTGAAGACTGGAGAAATGTGAGGTAATTAGCGCTTTACTTCCTCCGTCGCCTCTGTCCCATCAGTTCACATGAGAGCAGCCTCATTTACCCGGAGGAGAAACACCTTAACTTTCCGAGAGGTTGTCGTCTCCTCCTGCTGAGAAACAGCTCCTCCCCCCGGAGCTAAAGGCAGCTAGCTAGATATGTGGCTGCGCTCCATTTGATATACGACTAACAACGTAGCTAGACGTAGGTAGGCGGGGTCTACAGTCTGTGTAGAGCGACGTATCAGACCCATTATCTTCCAAGCTGRGTCAGAGTCCGGCGGATTAAAAAGGAGCGAACCATGTCAACCAGCAGCCCGTCCGTTGAAAACACGCAACTTCTGAGTATGTGCTTCAATCCTTATTTGAAGTTTAATTCAAATCAGAGTTGAATCCACCTTAAATATATTATTACATAGCCTTACAAATAAAATCAAACTAAAAAGAGTGGAAAAGTGCACAACTCTCAAGCCACCCCTCATTTATTTCTACTTTTTTTCACCCAGCCTGACTTTTTAATCATTATTTTTTTTTAAGTTGTCTTAATTAAGTTTCAACATTTTTTATTTTGTTGTTTGATTACAATTTACATTATTGATTCATCTTTGGAAACGTTTAACCAATAAACAATTTTCTGGTACTGAAAGCTCATCCCAGAATAATTTCAAAACAAGCTGCAAGACAAATTTTTTTTATACAATTAAACATGAGGGGTTTGCCTGTCATATAAATTTTCAGATTATCCCTGTGGAAAACATATTTGTCATGGCAGTTTATAATAAACATTTAGAGAAGCACTTGAATTCATGTTTTAATTTGACTATTCATGTAAAATAAAATTATCCATCACAGACATTAAGCACAAATGTAATCCAAGGATTTGGACAAAAGAGAGATTTGGTAATAGCAATCTCTCGTAATCTATAATACACCATTTTAAAAGGAGGTCATTCAGGATGTCCAATAATCAGATATTGAAAACCAATCAGGCAGAGCAAACCGCAGAAGCCCAGATGTATCTGTGGCCATCTTGTCAATCGTTTGGCCTTCAGTCGTTTGTCTTCTGTCAGTGAAGAGGTGAACCGGTTCAGTCCGTTCCTTTTTGTTCCTTTGGTACATCTTGGCTTTGTTGCTCTGAATTCTTTGCCACTTGATTAAAACAAGGTTTGTAGATGTAAACACCACCACCAACACCGAGCATTGTGACAAGGACCACCTGTGGGAATGGCAGTCTTCGTCGGAACATGACTTCTGTTGATGAGGAATCCTGATCTGCAGACTCCAAATGGTGCTGAAAAGCACAAAAAGTAAGTGTTAAGCTTTAAAATGTGCAGCCATTAATTTATATCTTCGTGTAACATTACCAAGATAAGGTAGTGAGATAGGTCTTAGTGGCATTATTATTATTATTATTATTATTATTATTATTATTATTATTATTAATATTATTATTATTATTATTATTTTCTGGATGACTGATGTATTTCAATAACAAGACATGCAGTTTTACTTCTTGGCTGACTGAACTAAGCATCAGTGTGTATTTGGTCTAAAGTCCATTTATACTTTAAATGAAAAATGTGACAAACACCCACAAAAAAAGGGGGTTATTAATCTCATAGGGTTATCAACATTTCTAAATAAACAGAATCCCCAAAAAGTTGTCTTATTTTGAAAAGGTCAAACCGGATAAAAAAACACAAGACTAGGTGGCAAATGACTCCGTTCAGACTGTGTGGCCACAGAAAGACACCGTGGTGACTTTACACATTTGTTTACAACAGTCATAACTCACCAATGGAGCGATTTATACGACGTGTCTGTTATCAACTCGCACAAGAGGACAAACAATTAAAAAAACAAAGACGGAAGAAAAACGTCCACAGGACACCTCTGTGCCGAAGGAGTTTCTTCTTCTTCTGCTCGGAGCTGAAGCAAACAGCTCCACAGCGCCCCCAGTGGAGAGAGCAGGATTTTAGAGGAATAAAACTAACAAAAACTTTAAAAGAAACTAAAAATCATTCACACGAATTTCAGTGGTGGTGTTGCACTGGAATACAAACAAAACTCGAAGCATAAAATGCATGTTTTACAAGACTTGGCTAAGATGTTTTATTGTGACTCTGGCTAAAGAGTGAGGTCTCCACACCAATGTCTTAAAACACGGTTATCTTATTGCTTTTCTTTACTTAATGCTCATTAAAAATATTTTTGATTTTACAGAAAAATAAACTGTATATATAATTTTTGTTTTGAGCAAAAATATGCAGAAAGTTTGATTGTGAAATAGAATATACTCAATGATTTACCAAAAAAATTATTCTACCGAGTTCCAGAGGATGGCGCTAAAATGCATCGCTGATTACCAACCTAAAGGATGACAGGATTAAAAGCTTTTACTTTGAAATTGAATCGAAAACAATTCACCGGAAGTTATCCTAAATTGCGGAAGCGATGGATTTCTCTGATTTTAAACAAGGAAGTTTGGTTTTAAAAGCCATATAAACAGATGAAACTGCAGTGAAAGCACCTGTGCATGATAGTTAAATGTTGTTTTTTTAGTCTCTTTATTGAGACATATCTCACCTGATTGACGTCCTAACAGGTGAGTTATGTCCGCAGCAGCAGATGGAGAACCTCCGAGCTCGGTTGAAGTTTGGGAACGAAGAAGAAGTTGTGAAACTGAGGAAAAGGAAATCTCAACTGTATTCAAAGGAGGATAAAAACCCTTTCAACGGTGCGCCTATAACAGAGATATATGTTAATAAAACTGTTATTATCTCTTTAGCTGCGTAAATGTGCAGGTGTTTCTCTCACGCCGTGATTTTTATTACCTGCACAGGTGTGCTGGGGCTCGTTTTGTTCTGTGTTGTGTTCAGGCTGATCAACTGTGTCCTGGTTCGGACCAGCTTCGTCCCTGATGAGTACTGGCAGTCCCTGGAGGTGTCCCACCGCATGGTTTTCAAATATCCTCCAAAAACTAAACAGACCACTCTTTGAGCTGGGTGTTAAAACAATTAAATGTTTGCACCAAAACTATTAGCAGTATGGTTTCAGTTTAATTTAATGTTAAAGTTAGGTTTTAAGTGTGTTTTGTTGGTGTCTTGTCATATTTATCTTTGCATTATTTTTCTCTCTTTTGTGTATTTGTCCTCTGTTTTGGTTCAAACAGCTGATGATCTAAAAACCTGGAACCATTTGTTATATTTAAAACAAATAACATGCAAATTATTGATTATTCTATCAGTAATAATCAGAACTAGACCATCACATTGATTCTTAAAACAATAATATATACCAGCTCTAAATCAGGCTCCAGAATACATTTAAAAGTGATCAGTGAGAGGTTATTTACTCTGGATATTACTAAAATACTTTTATTTTCATTACTTCAAGGACTTTTCCATCAGAAACTTTTATTTATATAACAAAAATCTGTGTTACACCATGTCTCTTTATCATGTTATAAATACCACCATGTTCAGATAAAGATTTCCACTTTTGTGACTAAAAGCAGCATCATTTATTTGCAATTCATTCAACCTTATCAGTGAAACATATGGGTATCTGACCTGGGAGTGGAAAGCAGGAATAAGAGGATTCATGTATCCCCTTTTCTTTGCCTTCCTGTACAAGATACTGCATCTCTTAAACTACGACTCAGTCCATCTCCTGGCAAGTCCTTTTGTCTTTGAGTTTTTTTAAAATTGTTATTAATTGAGCTTTTACAGTGAGCATTTGTTGACTGGTTTTATTTCTCTCCRCAGATTTGGCTCCCACGAGTCGTTCAAGCGCTCCTGGCTGCGTTCGCTGATGTGAAATTCTTCTTCCTCATCAGAACGCTCGAAAGTTACGACTCTGCGAAATGGATGGTAGAAAATTCTGTTCAAGTCTGACGGGCAATTTGTGTTTTTAGCTTAAKTGAATGCATTTATAAGATTTTTAGGTGGACTGTGTAGTCAGTTCTTTATTTGTCTCCCTTGGGTTTTTAAAGGGCACTGCAGCACAGACTTAAGCACATCAAATAAAGTAATACAATAAAACCACATAAGATAAGAATAGTAACAAAAACCCTTGGCAGTAATAAATAATTAAAACCTGTGTGGAAAAATGCTGCTGAATTTAGCCATGCTTAGTTCTAGCTTTTATGTTTTTTTTATTAATGATCTTGATAAATATGTTGTTTAAGATGCTGTTTGTCTGTGAAAAAATATTGTTTTACATCTTTAATTATCTCATTGTCAGGGCAAAAGCTCTGCATGTATTCAAGCACTGAATCCACCTGTTGTTCACCTTGTTCTGACCCGTAGTTCTTCTGTCACCTGTGCTCCTGGTTCTCGTGGTTCTGCTGCACCAGGACGCTGACTAACAGCACAGAGACCATCCTCACCTGTCTGGCTCTTTTTTACTTTCCTCTCCCCGGGTCCAGAACGTACAGCAGGTGTTCTGCTTGTTTACATCCTCACCCTTTCTCATTATTATCAATGTTAATCAGTCAGATTTGTGATTTACTCRGACCTTTTTTTTTGTTTTTTCCTGCAGTAAGAAGTATTTGTCCCTGGTTGCCTTGGCTGTGATCATTCGACCCACAGCCCTGATCGTCTGGTTTCCTCTGCTGATTTACCATTTCTGTCAGGAGGAACACAAGCTGASGCTCATCACTCATGACTACATTCCCATAGGGTTTGTAGTCTTTATTTACACTTTTTATTGTGTATTTACTGAGTCAACACTCTGTGTGGCTGTGCCCCACCTTTGGAACTCCCTCCCTGACTATGTGAGGGTTTCACAATAACTGGTTGACTTAAAAATAAAAAAAAAATGCCAAAAGACATTTAAAACTAGCCTGTTCTGGCTCCGTTTGAAGGCATAGAGGTGTTTTTAACGGGGCTTAAAGTGCCTGTGACATGCCTATCAATCAAAATACAAAAAGTCAAAGAAAACACATTTTTATATAAGAAACCTTGCATTAAACATGTGATTTTACCCATTTTGTCACATAAGTGGCATATTTTCTTTTGAACTTGGCTCAGCCAAAATGCAACAGGAAGTGACATCAAAGGGGAACTTTTTAAGAAAGAAAACTCTCTGATCTTTTTTTATTGTAACAATGCTATTTGAACATCATCTCTGATAGWGACTCAAAATAATCATAAGAAACATCAGATTATTCTCTGCAGTCTGTGTCGTTAGCWATTTTATCAACGCTTTGTTCCATGCAGACATTCCCCTTTGACATCACTTCCTGTTACTTCACATGTAAATATCTCAACAACTGTTCATCTCAGCAGCGGGAAATTATTTTTTGCAATATGTTAACATTATCTTTCCAATAATGCCTTTATATTTATTTAAAAAATTTCACGTCACAGGCACTTTAAAATTGAGCCTTTTCTCAGCTCTGACTGTTGGTTTTATCAGTGTAATTTTATTGTTCGGTTTTTTGATTTTACTAATTTTATGGTTTAGTTTTGCTGTTTTGTAGCACTTTGAGATTTTTGCTAATGAAAAGTGCGCCACAAATTATTTTTTTWAACTTTTATTAGAACAACTCCTTGACATGGTCCATACATATATACAGTACATACGCATTGCCCCCTTTTTACAGAAATAGCTATTACAAACAAGTATTCAAGATATTGAATTTAACAAGACAAAAAATATCTCAAAGACTCAAGTCTTCTATTCCAGGTAGAAAATAACTGAAGACCATCTTTTATAAATGTCCTTCTGCAGTCGCAGAGTTGCAAGTGCGTCACAAATTAAATCTATTATTATTAATAATATAATAATTATTATTATTATGTACTTTGTGCTATTTTAACCATCCAAATATCAAAACATTCAGCTTCATTAGGACTGATGTGCGCCAAATTTTTGTTCTTTGTAACTTTATGCTTTTTAAAATATTTATATATCCCACAGAAATACATGGAGAGATTTTTGAAAGTCCTTGTTTAAATTAGCTTCAGCTTTTGGCTACAGCTGAGCAAATTTTAGCTTCCGTTTTGCAGATTTTAGGTTTTGCTTTGCTACTTTTAGCTTGTAGCTTGTGCTCAATTTTCTTTTTTTTTTCAATCATGAGTCATTAAATCAGTTTTAGCTTCTTCTGCAGATTTGAGCGCAGTCCTTCGGCGCTCAGTTTCTCTAGTTTTCTTTCCATTCTTCATCACGTTTGTGTGTTTTCGTCACCAGGGCGTTGGCGGTTGTGACCTCAGCTCTGGTCGACTGTCTGTTCTATGAAAAGGTAAAACAGGACAGATTTACAGAACTGTGTTTAAAGTCGATTTAACGACCTGATCTCTCCACTCCAGTGGACGCTGGTTCAGTTCAACTTCCTGAGGTTCAATGTCCTCCACGGGGTGGCAGAGTTCTACGGCTCCCACCCCTGGCACTGGTACTTCACTCAGGGGTTCCCCGTCGTGATCGGCCCCCATCTACCCCTCTTCCTTCATGGGTGCACCCTCGCCTTCAGAAAATACAAAATCCTGCTAGGTGCTGTTGTGTGGACCGTTGTGGTGTACAGGTCAGATGGTTTAAAGTCATTATTATCTATAATTATAAATGTAAAAGGTTGAAATCTCTTGCTTGCAATAAATTAATAATTTTTATAACTTTTCTATAGTTTTCTTCCTCACAAGGAGTTCAGGTTCATCTATCCCGTACTGCCTTTCTGCATGTTCTTCTGCGGTGAGTTTTCTCCCACAGACTCGCCACACGTCCCTCAAAGATGCTTACATGTCAGATGTTTGTCTCGTCTCGTCACAGGGACGTCGCTGGCTCACTTGAAAGCGTGGCGCCGAGCCGCCGCCGCCGGCCTGGTGGCGTCCAACCTGGTTCTGGCTCTGTACACTGGCCTGGTCCACCAGCGGGGCGTTCTGGATGTGATGGGTCACGTTCAGGCTCTTTGTGACGTCGGCAGGAATTCCTCTGTCCCGCAGCCAGACGTCCTCTTCCTCATGCCCTGCCACTCAACACCTTTCTACAGGTACGATGGCTCCTCCCACAGCTCGACGACGAGGAGCGTTAAAGAGCTCCAGAGGGTTTTTATTGCTGCTTCAACACTTTGCTTTCATCTAGACCAGGGGTCTGCAACCTGTGGCTCTTTGGTCTCTCCATATTGGCTCTTTGAAAACTTGACCAAACATTATAGAATAAGAATGTTCAAAAGAATGTCCCAACACAGACGAGCTAATTCTAGTGGCCAGAACTCTGCAGTTTTCACTCATTTACAGGCCAGTGGTCACTCTTTCAGAGATGAGGATGTTCTCATTCTTGATAGAGAGGAACGTTGGTTTGAGAGAGGAGTAAAAGAAGCCATTTTTGTAAAGAAAGACCGTCCGTCATTAAACAGAGGTGGGGGCCTCCGTTTTCAGCTGTCCCCCTGCTACAGCGCTGCCATTGGCAGTATCACTCCACCCCCTGTTAACAAAAGGGATTAATTAGGGTGAACGATGGCCATGTGATGTGAGTATGAGTCACCTGTGAACGATGGCCATGTGATGTGAGTATCAGTCACCTGTGAGTCATAGCCAGGTGATGTGAGTGGGAGTCACCTGTGAACGATGGTCATGTGATGTGAGTATCAGTCACCTGGAGGCAGGACATAAAAGCCTGAATTTTGCCTGAAACTCTCAGACTGAAGAAGTCTCTTGGAAGAGAGACGAAACGTTTCATTAAAGAAGAACCCGTCCAGAGGACCTATACAATTTTTTTTCCTTTGATTTTTTACCTGGATTACTGAGATGCATCAGGACATTATAGAATAATTTTTTGTGGTTTTTTTGTACCTACAAAAGCAATCAATTTGTATGCAAATATGTGATCAATACTACTAATACAAAAAGAAAAAACACATTTTATCAGTGAGCCAAGGAGCACAAATGGCTCTTGATTGTAAAGGTTGCAGACCCCTGCTCTAGACTTTTGCTAGTTCGTGACCATTCTACTTTTAGCTTTAAGCTAGTATTTTTATTCTTTTAACATCTAGCTAACCGTTTACTTAACCTATTGCTACTTTTTGCTAGAATTCTGCCTCTTTTAAGCTTAAACATTTTCATCTTTTTCAGTACTCAATCCATTTCAGTTATTTAGTTGTTCAAACTGTTTCTTTTTATATATATTCTGCTTAACTGAAAGTTTATCCTTTATAGTTACAAAACATAAAAATTAACTCAATGTATTATAAAATATTTGGTGTTACATGTTGTATTTAGTATTTATTTTAACTTGGTAATGTTGGACTCAGATCATTAAAGCCTGAGAGGAGAAATCTTTTACCAATTTATTTTAGAATAAAGTCTGATATTTGATTTACTGTAACGTGTGCAGCCACGTCCACTGCCCTCTGAAGATGAGGTTTCTGGAGTGTCCTCCAGATCTGGGGGATGAAGGTTACTCCGATGAAGCTGACAGATTCTACGACGACCCTCTTCTCTGGCTCAGGACCTCATTCCCGTACAAATCCTCCCTCCCGACACATCTGGTTCTGTTCGATGTTTTGGAAAAGGTACAGCCGCTGAAATGCATGCATGTAAAAAGAATTTAACTTTTAAACAAACTTTGTGTTTCGGCTGCAGGGAATCTCCACGTTTCTGCAGGGAAATAATTTTAAACGGACAGCAGAGATGTTTCATACTCACGTTCCAGAGGGAAGAGTTGGAGGAAGCATCTTTATTTATGAAAGGCACTGACAAACAACAACAACAACAACAGTAAACATTCCTCTCTTAATGTAACTGAATTGATTTGCAGCTCAAATAAATGTTTTAAACTCAGATGTTGCCATTTTGAAATCAACGGCATCCTTTTAAATTAGCAATAATTTTGTTTTTCCAGTCTTTTCCTTCCAGGACGTTAAAGTGAAATCTCGTCCAGTTAAAAGGTGGAATGTYAGAAAACAGCATCTGAACTGATTAAAACACAAACCATTCATATAAAAACACAGACCCAGATAATTACTGTGGTGTCTGGTGTTCTGCTTAACGAGACACAGAACTTCAAGTTTCAGTTTAAATTTTTCATTTTGATGTCTGAGATTTGTTTTTCCGACTAAAAAAAAGTGACTAAAGCAAAGGTGGGTATGTTTCAAGCAGGAGCTTCTCAAAAAATTCAAACTCTTATTTTCATAAAGAACCTTCACAGGATGTCTAAAATCAGTTCAAACAGAACAGCACAAGGACATTCAGCAGCATCGAACCGACTGTGCAAACTTACAGAAAAACATACAAAAATTGGCAACTAAAAATTAAAAGATTCAACTCAAATTTTTTTAGTATTTGGGGTCAAAGGGCATTGGGCCCAGCTCTATCTTGACGTCAGCCATGTGTCTTTCTGCGTTTCTTCCTGACCGGCTCCACTTGCGTTCGCCGTGAGGTCGAGACCTGCCTCGCTGCTGCTTCCTCTGATGCTTCGCTCTCGACGACTCGGTTGACTCGGTGTCGGGTCTTTGGGACGGACCGCTGTGATGGAAACACAAAGCAGTGACCCCAAGTACACTCTTACCTAATGAATCACCAACATAAAAACAGGAAGTCATAATAAATCTCTATATTTGATAGGGGTGTAAACCACCAGCTTTATCACGATACGATGTTACATCGATACGTTTGGATATTTCTTGATATCACAAAGTCTGTCACGATATGATTTCGATTCAATTCAATCCACACGTCTGCAATCGATATAATGTGATATCATATGCCCATCTAACACAATAACTGTGTTAGATGGGCATATGATGACGATATAGATATTTTCATTTTGCCTCGATTTAACTGAATCATGAACCATTACAATCGACATATCGATATAGATCGATGTATCGTTACACCTCTAATATTTAATTTGAGCAAAATTTATTCACACTAAAAGACCGAACACACCAGCCAGACCACATTTCTTCTACTTGTAAACAATATAAAGAGTTTTGTTATAACATCTAATCTTTCACAACCAAAGGAGTGAAACGTTTGGACTTCCACAATCTGCAACATTTCTGTCTTTTAATGGTTGACTCTGATTTTTCAAATACCAAATCTAAAAAGTTCAGTTTGTTTAAAAAATAGCCACAACAGAAGTCATCTCAGGTTTAATTTAGGTTTGAGGAATCTAAGTTTACCTCTTTAGTTTATCTTCCAGTGTATATTTCTCACATTAAAGCAGAGCTTTTCAAATAGTGGGTCCCCACCCCCTGCGGGATGCCAATGAGTTCTTTTATATAATGGAGTGTTTCCCTAGCATTATCAGGGGATTACTGGTGGTTTGTACAGATAAATAATTAAATATCACGTTTTCAATAGTATTTTCATTCAGGGTGTGTGAAAATGAAATGTTCCCTGGGGGGCATGATGGAAAATAACTGAGACCCACTGCACTGGTGAAAGATAAAGCCTGCAATTCCTCAGAAGTTACATTTCTGTTGGATAAAAGGATCTCTGTTTGGAGCTGAGGTCCAGGTTTGAGACACTCTGTTCATAAAGCTGCAGGAACTCACCTCGGGCCGTGGCGTTTGGTGTAGGTTTTTCCAAACAGGTGTCTGTAGACGTAGTCGTCCAGGTCTGTGAACACGTTGTCGAGGCCTTGGTATTCGTGCATGCTGGACAGATAGTCCTCCACTCCGCTCAGGAAGTCTGTGAACAGCATGCGGTCGTGGATGAACACTCCGTTGTGGAAGAAGTTGTCGACGAACGCCTCCAGCTCCTTCCAGTGGGAGAAGTCCTCCACCTCCTGCTGCAGGTAGCTCTGCAGCAGCCGGTGGAACTCGTCTGCTCTGATGGGCTCCGTGGCCGTGTTGAAGAGGCTCATGAACTCCTGGAAGGCGCAGTCGAAAACCCCGGTGCATCCCTTCACGCTGGCTCTGTGGTGATCCTGGTGAACCTTCCCGCCTGATTTGCGCGTATTGCAGTCGCTCTGGAAGAAGTCAGATTTTTGTCGGTGCTGAGGCCTGTGGGCTCCGTGGCGCCACGACTCCTCGCTGTTCTTCTCGTCGCGGCCCTTGCTGTAAAAACTCTGAGCTTTGTGGATGAAGGTCGAGGCCGAATCTTTGAAGTGTCGGAAGGTTGATTTGACAGAGTCTGAAAACTTCCTGAGGTTCTCTTTCACCGCATCTTTGGCTTTCTTAATCTGCTCCTTGTGGTGGTGGACGAAGTCTTTGGTGGAGTTCCTCACAGCATCAAACGTCTCTTTCACTTTCCCCGTCATGCTTTTTGCTCTTTTCACTTTGGACTCTTGGTCTCCTTTGKCGTTTTCCTGTTTGGTTTCCACATACAGCCTCTCCCACAGGTCGGAGCGCTGCTGCTCGAAGCTCAGCCTCTTCTGCAGCTCCATCAGATGCGCCTGCAGATCCTCTGAGCCKCCGCCTTCTTCGGCGACACGACTTCTCAGCTGATTCAGCTCTCTCCTCAGGTCGTCCGTTTCCTTCCTTTCTTTGTCCAGCTTTCTTTTCAGCATCCGCGCTTCAGCCGTCATGTCGTCCCTCTGAACGTGGACATCTCGGATCAGCTGCTGCTCGTTCTCCAGCTGCTCCCTCAGCCTCTGATTTTCAGACAGCAGCGAGTCTGCTCCGGCTCCCACCGCCTCCAGATCCCCGATCTTTGAGCGCAGGTTCCTCAGCTCCTCCTGTAAGATGGATAAGGCCTTTTCCTCTTGTTCCAGGGAGGCTTTCAGCTGCAGGTTTTCATCCTTTAAGCTCTGCTGCTGGGACATGATGCTGGTCCTCTCCTCAGCCGTCTGTCTCAGCAACATCTTTAGGTGGTCTCTTTGGGCCTTAATGAGGAAAAAACAGAAAGATTATGTTCAATGTTTGAAAAAGAAAATACATTCTGCTTTAGTAAATGTGAACACGTTTTAAAAAGTTCATGTTACCTGAATGTGATCTTGTTTTGCGCTGAGCTCCTGGTTTTCTTTCTTTATCTTCTCAATCACTTCTGCAAGCAGCAGAATAACGTCTTGCTCCTCCAGATCGTCTCGACCAAAGTTGATCCTTTGAGTTAACTGATCAAAAACAAACATGAATAATAACAATAATAATAATAATAATAATAAATATTATGGATTCAAATTTAAACACAGGTTGTAATTTTTGCAGCAAAGACTTCAAAATAAATGACCCTAAAATGTGACCCATCACATCGAAACAAGGATTAAGTCTAAAAGTGGGATATGGAGACGTAGGCAAATATAGTGTTTTGATTAAAACGTGCAAAAATTGCATTTTTGTTAAAACAATGAATAAATGCCTTATCAATGTATCATTTGAATGAACTGTCTGAAAAAATTTTGAAGCACTTTTGAGTAGTAGCAACAAAAAAACTGATTTTGAGGAAAAATGCCATAAAAGTTTGAGATTTTCCCAGTGAGCTAGCAAAGTTTTGTTTCTTTTCAGCTGAGAAATCTCAATATTCAAATATAATTGAGGTTTCCTCTTTATAAGGACATGAAAAATTCCTCATCAAAATTACATAAAATTAGGATTCAGACCAAATATTTATGGATTATCATAACCAACAAGACAAATTAAGTCATATACTGTATATGGATTTGATTATGATATCAGAATGATCCAGGTATCAAAATGTAGCTTTGAAAGCCAGRAATCTGAAAATGTAATTAGGTCATTTTGACCAAATTTGACTTAATCCTCATTTCGATATGATGGGTCACAAATTTAAAACTCAATGCTGATCCTAACGATAATTTATTATTTTCAGTTCTGTGGGGAGAAAATCAGGGATTAAACAAATTACGCTCCAAACTAATCCCAGGGACTGTGTTCCATTCTGTGGTTCTATGAGGTGACAGGGTGGTTTTAAATGGTCTCTAAACTCAAGCAGAGACGTTCAAGAACCTGGGAGTCTTCCTCACTAGTAGGATGGAGTGGGAGATGAATTGAAGGAAATTAGTATTTAAAAAATATATATATATGTATTGGACAACCTTACTTTACATCATTCAAACTCACCAACATTCTCAATGACTGTTTTTGATTTACATTTTAGACTGTGAGGGAACTTTTGATTTCCATATCACCTGCATGTGACCCATCAAAATAAAAGCTCATTGTAACATAAACAAATTGATGCCGTCTGTGTTTCCTTGTACTGTTTTACAAWTGATTTGATGAATGTGTGAATCGAAAATCCACAAAAGCTGTACATCGTTCAGATTAAATAAGGAGACAGCAGGGTTAAAACACTTTGATCTGCTGTAAATGAACTTTTTGTTTCTTGAGCCATCATGTTTGTTTTCACACACCTGGTTTGCTGAACGTTGTTCTCTGAGGTGCAGCTGAATCAGATCCCTCACACCTGCGACTTCATTCACTTTGAATTTCTCCTCCGTTTTCTGCCTTTCCTGAACTTGGACTGTACCTGAAAGAGAGATTATTTATGCACAACAGAAGGACGAATGATGAATCTAGAGTCAGAAGTGATCTAGTAAGACCAAACAATCAAACCTTCAGAAACAGATTTTCTTCATTCATAATAATGTAAGATAAATTATATATTTTGAGTGAATTTCCCACCGTAGAAGTGACCGAAGCCCATGCTGATGGCTATGATGAGGGCAAGCAGGATGCATTTGTTGAGGATGCCGCCACCTCGACCTTCTCCATCATCAGGAGGTTCAGCAGTTGGTCTCTCAGTCTGCTCCTCCCGATGCTCCTCTTCTTCTTTCTCCTCYGCTTCGCTCGAGCGCGACTCTGGCAACACCTCCTCCTCCGGATCTGTAACAACGCTCGCCGTGTTCCTCCTAATTCTTCGTCTTCGGACGATGGGAGTGGAGCTTCTTCCTATCTCGTCTTCACTGCTGCTTGAGTTTGTCTCTGCGGGCCGCTGCACTGGAAAAACTACATTAAACGCACAAAATGTTATTTTTACACAGGGATTTGTGCATCACTCCAGGCTCGTGAGGCAAATTATTGGTCATAATGTTTTAACAGAAAAAGCATGTATTGTACATACATGCAAATAATCACTCAGACAGTAGAAAAACACTCAGATAAACATGTTTAGTAACTTTTTTAAGCTATACTTAGCACAAGATGTAAGGAAATTTGTGTTTAGTAGATTATTTCTTTGTTGTAACAATGCTTCTTGGCAATAAATCTTATAGTGGACACCTGACTGGCAGCACCTGGAGGTACCAGAAGCTCAAAACAAGAGTCAATAGCAACAACAAAATAAACTGTTTGACAGAGAAGATTCGGCAAATTTTTCATGAGCACAACCYACACACTCAGCTCTACTGCTCGTCCCACAAATGCATGWTCCTTACAAATSTGGCACCATTYAAAAGCGAAGTTMACAGGCTTTCCAGCGGTATAAGATTTATTRCTAAGAAGCTTAATAATCTACCAAAGACACATTTCCTAACTTTTTTTGTGCTAAGTTTAGAAGTCATCAAGTTTTCTTGTGTTTGTGAAGTATATTGAATTTACTGTACTGGAATGTTCCATACTGTGTACATTTCATACGGCTTATATTTATACCAGATCACGCCAAACAATACAGTTTATATTTCATTCTGCATACATTCTATTCATACCAAATCACTGTTTATATGTAAACTAGTGTGTTTATTTTGTTTTCCTCTAGAGTRCTTTTTTATTTTCTAATTATTTTTACTTGAACGGTTGCAGCTTTAATAACTGTAATTTCCCTTGGGGATAAATAATGTTTTCAAAATAAGTTATTTTTCCATTTGGTAATGATGCTTGTTTTCTTTGGTTTTATTTTTTTGTCTGAAAACTACATTTTTGTTAATCATAACACAATCGTGCACACAAACATTTTATAAAAAGCACACATCTCACAGGCTGGTCAGAAACATGTTAGCATTTGTTTGGTATGTTGCTAAACAATGTTAGCATCATGGCTGCACAATATTTGTAAAAAAACACACAATTGCAATTTTAGGGTTAAATATTGCAAAACTAYATGAATTGTGATGAACTCCCCATGTGCCGGCTGTGGGCTTTTGGAGGAGTTGGTGTCAATATAATATTTGGGTTTGGGATTCTCGTTTAAACTTGTGCAACTTGTTTATTGTGCAGCCCCGGTTAGCATCACGTTAGATTGAACACACTCTTAAATCAGACCACCTGGACCAGATCGGCTGAGCTTGCCTCTCAGACGGTAAGTCAAGTTCATCAGAGTCTGTGGAAGTTTCCAGTGACTCAACAACAAGCCTGCTCAGGCAGAGGAGAAACGCTCATGTTGAATTTATCAGCAATGAGTTCAGTTTGCTGGAGGAAACCTGAGGATCGTTCAGTCCTACCCGTCTCTGTGGCGGTGAAGGTGTAATGGCTGCTGCAGGACGTGCCGAGGTAAAGCTCCTCCCGGGCGGCCTCCTCCTCCTCAGTGTGCTCGCCCTCCTTCAGTTCTCCCAGTGTCACGATGTCAGAGTGGTCGCTTGAAGAAAACCCGTGCTGTTTTCCAACATGTTCCTGAAACGATGCATTCCAGAAGGCGTTACGGTCAGCTGTAACAACTGGACTTTACAGAAACCTCCTGCATCCTCCCACCTGCAGGCTGTCACCTTCAGTCTGTTCTATCACGGTGTCATCAAGTGATCCAGCAGCTTTTTCTTCAACACACAAAGCTGGAAATGAATAAAATAAATAAAAACATTAATTGTGATTTGAAACGATACATTGCAATTTAAAAAGCCACAGAAATGCAATTATTTTCAATAACAGCCAACTACAACTAAAAAGAGGAAGATAAATATTTGTTTTGTGCTGAACTCACTCAGCTGCGGTGTCATGGTCACACCGTGCTCATAGAGAAAAACACAAAATATATAAAACCAGACAACAACAGTAATATAATGTGCATAAAACTAACGACTCAATAATTGAGTCGAAAGACAAAACTCTCAATTTACTRGTCTGTCATCATTTCAAACCTCATCTATAAGATTTGGATCATGACCCAAAGAATAAGATCTCAGACATAAGAGCAGAAATCAGCTTCTTTCACTGGAGGGATTATGTAGATTTAGGCCTGTCACGATAACAAGTTTTGCTGGGCGATTAATTGTCTCA